AAATGCTTTCTCTATGTTTGCATGGAGTTTATTTATAAAAAATCTAAAGTTAGGTTTTATCAATTTCTTTGTATTCATTTATTGCATATTATGTATTAAATTTGACCTAGCTTTCTTTCATATAATTTATAATAAAAATATTTCAAAACATTTGAACTGCTACAATAATATGTTGGTTAAGATAACTTACTGCATTTTAGCTTCAAAAATTAGATTTTTTTTTTATTATATAATAAATAATACAATCCATATCTTTCTCTTCACTTGCAACTTTTATTTTTAATTTAATTACACCAGTAAAGCGGGCATTGTGATAGATGGCTTTATAATAAGGGCTTTACATACATGAGAGCGGTAGTAGTTCCTACGATAATCATGCGAGGGTAATGTTGCAGTTCTTAACAGTTTTCATTTATTAGTTTCAGATCAATATTTTTATTTTTATTATTATTATTTAAATAAGAAATCAATAATTGTCCTTGAGTTGAAATAAAGCTATACTGATGTTTTTTTTATTAGATGTTTCCACTAATAGTGGGTTTCTTTAACATAAAGTGCTTGGATGGCTTTTTTCCATAATATCCTATCTAAGGTCCATTCTTCCCATAGATCATGACCCATCATGGATTCCTCCACTTCGTTATGCTAGGTTTTCCTTGGTCTTCCTCGTCTTCTTCTTTCCCTAGTTTTCAATAAGTGGACTTCTTTATGTAGTCTTACTTCAGGTATTGTTTTCAAATGTACATACCATTACAGGCGTTTTATCTCAATCTCTCCCAGAATGGTTCTTTTTCTTCCAGAATGCCTCCATCTTTTCTGATGTTCGTATTTCTGATTTTATCCATCTGGATATTCTCGCCGCTCTTCTCCACTAGTCTATTTCGGTGGCCAGAAGTTATTTCCTGAGGTAGCTTTTTGTGGTAAAAGTTTCTGATCCATATGTCATAATGCTCAGTACTATATTGTTGTAGATGTTTTTTGTTTTGTTTTGGAGATAATGTTCTGGATCCATAATTGAGCATTTATCTGGTCCTTTTGCCATCTGAAACTTTTCTTTTTATTTCCACATTACATGCCCATCTATTTAAGATCCATTTTGACATGGTGGGGAGGCTTGAGTATCAGGAGGACCCTATGAGAATTATACCGATAGGGCCATCCATGTAGGGCAGGTCTTAGGTGAGTGATCATACTAAGAGAGGTACTACTCCCAAATTGGGATATACTGATTAATGAAAGTCAAATAAAATGTAATAAATAAATATGAATCTGTAATGTAACTTTAAAATAAATCTATAATGTATTTTCTATATGATATTTTGTAAACAGCAAAATAGGTCTTTTATTCTGAATGAAATTCGCCCAGTGGCAAGTAGGTTTTATTATTTTACAGTGTTGATAAACAATCTTATTAATTAGTGGTAAACCAAATTATAGGGTTCTTTGGATCATTTAGATTTCTGAGAGTCCGTCTAACCTATTAACTAGCTTTCCGAATGATGTTAGCAAACACAAAGTTATAACTCACTCTTTTAGTGAAGGTAAATTTCTCAACATTTTAACGTACTGGGTCAAACGCGATAGCTCACATGAGGTTCCGACATGTTGAAGGCAGTGCTTTTTATTCTATTTCTTATAATCCCGATATCGTATTCATTGTTTTTGAACTGCACCTTGTACGGCTTCCCAGTGAGTAGAGTACAAATAGTTTAATATAGTTAAGGAGACATATCTGAACTTTAATATGTATTCTCTGTAGATTGGTATGATTGTATACTCTCAGGTCATATGTTTTTGAAACGAATATGGGGCTGGGTATATTAATATAAAACTGATATGTGCATTTATGTTTGATTTATCCATAGACATGCTGTTAAGGTAAAAAATTTAAATGCTATTTTAGTATAACCCGTTTTTTATAAATAACTGATTAATTGAAAGATTTGTATTTTTTCTAACTGACCTTTTAAGCACTACAGACAATTTTAAAAAATGTTCTAATGGGTGTTTGAAGCCAAAAAAGTTAGCCGAATATTTCTATTATTGTTTTGAATTAGACAATGGTCAAAGTAGATGTGAGCCCGTTTTATTTTTACTTAATTTATTTTTAGTTTTTTTCAGTTAATTTATTTTTATTCTATAAATCGATTTCCATTAATTCCCGGAGCCAAGAGATTTTACTCAAAATTGATTTTTTAGATTAACTTCTACTTTGATGGTCTCACTATTTCATTTTTCATATACGGTGTTTTTCTATTTACGAAATAAAATGAAAAAAATACCGTTAATTATTCATGGTTGTGATCAATATTGTTTTAGTTTAATATTTCTATGAGAATTCATTAGGGAGATGTCATTCTTAACTTTTGCGGAGTTTACGATCTTATGTTTTATCATCGCTCGGACATTAAAGTAACAAGTACCAAAAAACGTCTTTTTGAATGCTTTCATTAATCGGAAAATAAAAAACAACAAAAAAACAAATAAGAATTATTTATGATACATATATTGTTTTAATAATAAACCAATTAATGACTTATTTTCGGTGAAAGAGAGAACCATATATAATTACAGAAAGGACTATAACACTTTTTACAAAAATATAATTTAATTTATTTATATTGTATGTATTCAATTTCTTTCAAAGTTTTAATATTAAGTATTTCTTGAGAAGTGAATTTAGAAGATTTATTTAATACCTTTCTTTTTTTTTTTTTTGTTTTCCTGATATGTGAGTCTCATGACAATATTTAGTCAAATGTCGCTTTAAGTGACATTTGTCTGCGGAATCTTTGTATTGTCAAGGCAAACTGGAGGGTATGTTTTGAGTCGAAGAATAAACTTGATGTTCTGTGATTTATCAGTTTTCCAGAACTTGAACCAGTCATGTAATTTTGTGAAATACTATTTTAGGGTGTGTGAAGTGTATGATAGATTAATGTTTCTTGCTCTGATTTCTGTGTCGTCTGCATTTGTCGCTGTATAAATACTGGAAGTACAACTTATGCAAAGTGGAGTAATGGAGCTAGTACTGAACCTTGGAGTACTGCCGCTGAGATAGACCTATGGAATAGAGTTCTGACCAGTGACATATTTAGAACAGCTAAAAAGACTCACATAAACAAACTTAAAATGTTTTAAGAAAAAACATTTAAAAAAATACAAAAGCACCTTGGTACGTTAGGAACGACACTGACGTTCATGTGTCGAATGTTAAAAAACACATACGAACTCTTTACAAATTACAAGGACACCCCAACATACTCATAAATGACTTATCCACAACACACATGAATATTAACGTTCGTAGAAGGTTGAAGAGAAGCTGGAATAGAGACCTGCTCGGTTAACTATTAGCTAGCTATCACGCCAGGAGAAAGTGCCGCTGGGTACTGCTCCTCTTCATGCCTCTAATTTAATGCCTCTAATGTATTTTATCAAAAATCATCAATTTCACTGCTTGAAATATTTTTTGACAGATGGAAAATAACAACTTATATTTAATTTTTTATTAAATTATTATATTTTAATTTTAATAACTTTTATTATAACCTGAATCAATAAAAATAAATTTAAATGCTACCTTATATAAATAATATTAAAATGGAAAAAAAAATGATCGGTTTCTTTTCTTAGATTATTACTAATAAATGGGCTGATAAAATATTTATTTAGAATTAAAGATACGAATTAAATTGGACTTTAGAAGATACAATTTTCAAATTTTCGCGTTTAAGCCCTGCGAGATCGTTTCGATAAGAATGAGGCCAAACTTACATTTATGAACATTCGACCGTAAATATATATATATAAGCCAATTTTGACGAAAAAGTGTTAGTATCGTCCAAGTCATATATTTATTATGAATTTAATTTCAGTGTTGTGCGGCTTTTCATCTTCCAAAGTTCAAAAGATTTAGTATTAAGAATTGGTAGCGACTGCCAATAATGATATCAGCCAGGAAGTGAGCAAAGACTTGTTGCCGCACAAACAGATGTTATTATGTACTCCTAAGGTACATCAAAACCTGTACTACAACTACGATCAACTAAACTTCTGCTATAAAAATTTCTCATAGGATCAGTTCTAACATGTGAGTCTGAAGTTTGGACATTGGCGAAAGCCAATAAGATGAAAATAGTAGTTTTCAGAAGAAAGAGAGTTTGAAATAAATTTGGTCCACTAATGTAGAATAACGAATGGAAAATAACACCTAACCATGAATTAACCAACATGTAAGGAGTCGGATGCGTAGAAATTTATCCAGATAGAAAGACTAAAATGGACCATACCTCAGCCCCAATTGAGAGGATCAGCATGGAACCGATGGAAAACGAAAAGCGCGAAGACCGATGCTGAGATCAATAGATGGTGTTAGTGCGTTGTCAGAATTATAAAAATCTAGAACTGGTGTACGGCCTCTCGAGAAAAAGAAAAGTGAAAGATCTATGATACAGCCAAAACCCATTAATAGATTGAAGGCCGCAGAAAAAAAATAAATGAAAACATATATCTCATCTATAGGCAAGTGAACTTAAAATTATTAAGCCCGTTATAAAACCGCAAATACTGCTTATTTAGTTACCGGTTACCACGGTGACCGCTGAAACAAGTTATACAAGGCAGAGACAAAGTAGGTGTCAGGTAATACTCTTAAATTAATTAGTTAGGTTAGATAATGTGCAAAATTCACTGCTAGTCGCTTACGCGTTGTATTCAAAGTGGCAGTAGGTTGAGCTATCACAACAGGTTCTGTCAGATATCATGATAATTCTGATAGTGCTTGAATAATACCAAGATAGTTTCATGATTAAAGCGCCTGCGGCAGTTGCTTCTATGCCTCATCATCGTTGAAATGAGTCTTAAGTTTTATTTTCAGATCTATATATCCATACGAAAAATGTTTGCACACGTTTATTAAGAACAGTTGATTACGTTTAGAACTGTTTCTTAAAATTACTTTAGAATTCTTAAAGATCTCACAGCAGACACCCCAGCGTATGCCACCCACATTGGCAGTTAGGTTCCTCATTAGCGGAGCACCCATTGATGGTATTGATAAGGTTATTTCTCGGCGCGGCTTGGACCTGTATTGAAGGGGCCCTAATAGGCGGCAGTAGTGGCTCCTCCATTCACACGCTTAAAGCAGCCCTCATCAAAGGAGCCTCACCTCTGCCTTGTTCCCGGCCAGCAGTCAATATGTCCGCCAATTCTAGAACAAGATGTTGTTAATGTTAAAGGTTAAAGAAAGCAGTTGACGATCTGTTAGCCTATCCATGATTAGCTAGCAATTAGTTTGTTGAAGGTGTGTTTTCACGTCGTCTTAAGAATAATCACCAGCTTTTTATGAAAAATACTAAATAAAGCTCTCAATATATGTAATTTCCTGCTATCCGAAACAATATTAAATTTTGTTAGATCCAGTATTAAAAAATTAACTATGAAGAATGTTGTCAAAACTGGATGATTAAGATCAATTTCATTAAATCACTTCTAAATTCCAGCAACCTTCTCCGTAAATATATGACGCTTGTCCTTAATCCGATATCTACGACTTCATCTGGACATACTTATCACTTGAAATCCAATGAATTAAGCAAGAATGAAGCGACTACAAACCGCTCGACGTTTCCGACAACTTAACAAACGTTCTAAGCTTCCAATTAATTACAAAAGACTCATACATATGAATATAACATTTCGTCGTAGGACTTACCGAGTAGAGCTTTGGAGCTCTATTGATTCATTCAATTTCTCTGGTATCCAATCCTTATAATCCAAAATCCTTCATAAAATCCATAATTCTCCTTACTTTGTCAAAAATAAAATCATCCATAACGACCTTGATGTACCATGTTTCCGATTTGGCCCAATCCATATGTCTTTTCTTCTACAACAAACTTCAGAACTATCCTTACCCGTTCTTTTCCAATCTTGCTTCTTCTTCGATCTCTAATTCTTCGACCTCTAATTCTTCGATCTCCCTGAGGCACCCGAAAATATGATGATCTCGTGGTCTCCTTATGTATATATAATATTAGAGTGCTACCAGTTGTTAGTTTCTCAACAAGCGTATTCATGTCATTATAATGATGTGGGCATATTTACTATAAGAACATTTATTTTAAATTCAGTTATAAATATCACGATTAAATATATGAAAATAATAATAAAACAAAAAAGGATTATCATGTTCATTGGCTGTTCACCAATCTGTCACGATGCCCTTTTAAACGTAGTGGATACTGTGGTAATTCAATACTACGAATACTCGTATATACAGGCTGTCCAGTAAAACAAAGGAAATTGTTTAATAGAGATCTGTCACACAATAAGCTGAGATTCGTCCCTATTTTTATAGAAGAGAGAATGTGTTTTAAAAGCTCTTTTTCCTCAAAGCAACTATGTTTTCACCAAAAATAAATGCAGGCCTCAACTTATTTATTATGGCCTTAAAGCTTAAACGAGAAAGTTTTCCTAAAAGTGGGAAATCTGTAATGTATTTGGAGGCTTGTAAAAAATATCTCGAGTAATCCTTAATTTTAGAAAAACAAGGCTTTATGTAATTTAGCCGCTTAAAGCCATTTCGAACATTTTTACTAAAACAAATCCTACTTGTTTTTAAAGATAACTTTAAAGTGGTAATTAGCTGTATTCAATAATATTTTAGTTAAGTTAATGAATGGAAACGTCTTTCTTAAGATAAATAAGCTAGTGTTTGTAATTAACATACATATCTTCTAAAACATAGACAATAAAAAATGTCTTATTTTGTGATGATTGCTTTTTACCCAAAATATTTTTTAAATATATTATCTGAATAACAATTATTTTACAATTTTATTATTATTTACATTCTCACAGTTTTTTCACTATCTTAATTATTTAAAATAAATATTTGTTGTTTATAACACTTATCAACGAAACAATTTAAAACAACTAATAAAATCTCTAAATATGTTACGTACATAACAAATATTAGGTATATATTATGCCTATATTAGTATTATAACTATATTAGGAATATAACAAAAAAAACAACATAAGAATAACTAAGATCTATTATCTCCAATACATAATCATGTTCGATTAACTCACTTGTTGAGCTCTTTGCTATGCTGTATATAGTTACTTAGGACTTTCCATTTATATTTCAATGAGGCAAATCTATTTATATTTACTTTTGGAAAACGCGTCCACAACCGATTTTTTTTTTCAAGCTTATCAGATTTTAATGTATAAATCGTTCTACATCGACCTATACAAAATGAAAACTATCACTGAGATCGAGTGCTACAGTGTTAACTGTATATGTTTCCTACATGTTTAGAAAACCTATACTAAAGATATTTTTCAAAGCTGCTATTATTCCGAGTTCTTAACCGTATATCTACGATCATCATGGCGCCCAGATGTGCAAAATTAGAAGTTTCGAACTTAATTTTATATCATAGCTGGAATTATAACCACTTCGGGTACCAACAAATATTCATTTTCATCACATATTTTGCTAGGAATTGGGTAAAACGGAAACCAGAAATCTTCAGAACTTATAAACACGTTTTGTACAGACAATATATCTGTTTCATGCACTAAACTATCTCGGGAGAACTAACAAATATTTTATAAAATTTTTTTTTAATTTTTCCACAGCATGGTGTTTGAAACTTGATGAGATTATAACTTATCTGCGCACGACATGCATGCTTCTAATTTTCTTGTATAAGGAACATTTCTGTCAGCCATAAAATTAAGTCAAGAAGAATTCAGAATTTATTTTCTATGAATGATTCAACCTGACAAATGGCCCCATTAGGGAAATCTTAGGGTAATTATCACACATAGTTATTTATATTTCTTCATATCTTCATTAGGATGTCCTCTGGAACTCCACCTATCAAATTTGAATAATCTGACTCCATTATTAAAAACCATTATTTTATTATTTCGTCAGATTTTCCTGTTGTTTCCACTGCTTCTCCAGATCTCTGCCTTTTATTCGCTGGAATTTCGCCTATAAATAATCTGTCATCAGTATATAACAAATACGTAATATTGACGCCTACGACTTCCAGCCCCGCCTCCTGAATTTCATGTAAATATTAAGGGAACAGAATAACTTCTGAAGGGTTAAGCAGAGAACCTTGTCTTAATCAATTAAAATTTTAATTATCGCTTCCTATTTAACAAAATACATGACATGCTTAGAAAAATATAAAAATTCAATTTTTTGCTTTTAATGCGTGGAATCAAACAGTGGTATTTATGATTTTTTCTTTATTGTTCTTGAGATCTTCTATTACTTTAAAATGTTTCCCTTTATTTACTCTACAAATTTTACATATTTCCAGAAATCGATTCACCAAATTATCCCCTACATTTAGTATTGCCCGAAATCGTTCTTGGTCCTGTCTGAAAAATCGATTTTTTTAGTAAAAATCAAGGCAAAATTGCTTGACTAATACTTCACAATTTTAGTTAATATATGTGTAGAATTGGTATAGCCAACATACTTTTGAATATAACTCCTCTAATTTTTTTTTTTTTTTGGCTTAGTTTGGTTTCTTCTATTTAAAAAATCACAAGACGAGTCTTGGTCTCGATTTTGGGTAACACTAACTACATTTATCCACAATAATTTACCTTTGAACAGCCCAGAATTTTCAAAATATTTTAAATAAAAAATATAAAAAAATCTTTATAGCATTTTGGAATTAATAACAGTAACGAATTGGAGGAAATCGATAGAGTAAGTTTTTCAAGGGTTTTGTTTTGATTAATTGCCTTTTCTGATATTCTTCTTTGCGCTTGCATAATGTGTATAAACTTTATGAGGATCATTAAAATAACCTGTAAAACTTCATAGAATGAAGGGCTTTAGATTCTGTACTTAGTTAGGAAGTACTGTTTCTAGTCCAACGGATGTGCTAGGAGTTCATCGGCCCAGGATCACGGTCAAATACTAGGTTTTATCCTTTTATTAATTAGTTAATTAGGAAACCCCACTTTATGGATGCTGGTTGTGGCCCAGGAAGGTCTCCCGATTCTAGGTATGATCCACGGATGAAGAAAAATCACTTAACATCAGGCGGATTCGAACCCTGGACCTTGAGCTTCGCAGACCACTGGCTAACTCCGTGAGTTACAGCACTCTCCTATGAAAATCAAAATTGTAGTGAATTTTGTTTTCTTAAAAAATAAATTAAAGCATTTAATTTCGATAAATTACTGAGTTATTTTATATTCTGTATAAATGGTTTTTATTTATTTATAACTAAAATTTTATTGATGGGAATTTCGTTGGAAACTGGGCCTTTTCGTGTTAGCATAAAATATTCAAGTTAAAAATCGGAGAAAATGTCCGGTAATATTATTTACCCGACCTTTTTCCCGACAAAGTGTTTGTTTTCCAGATATGCCAAATTATCGAAATTAAATTTCAGAGGAACATTTAATTTATTAAAGGTCCTTGTTAATTATAATTTATAAATACTCTTTATTTAGAGAACGAATTATATTTTATTTGAAAAACATTACTCAGAAAAATAAAATCCAATCACGATCCTTTACGTTTAAACAACCTTGTGATATTAATATAAATGAATACTCTTGTTGGTATCAAAATGAAAATTGACAAACGGTTAACGAAGATATGTGATCTAATTTATATATGCGACTTGGTCGCATATTCTATTAAATTACATCTCTTGGCATTTAATTCTTTGAAATGTGGTGGGAAGAGCGAAGAGCTAGATGGAAATGAAGTAGGTTCCCGAAGATCGAAGTTGAGGTTGGGAGGAATTACGTGTGGCAGACCACCATTCACTTCATTACACATCCAGCCCTCCCCTCCACCACTCCTCTTCCTCCTCCCTCACTATGTGTAATATCTCCTAGTTGGACTTCTGTATAAGACATCTATGTTAAGTCATTGATATCCTTTTTGTTTCAATATCTACCATATAAGTATTTTTAATATTTGTCTTTTTAATTTATATTCACTAAATTTGTTTATCTATTTTACTTCAGAAATAATAGTCAATTGCTCTGTTAGTCCAGTCAAAGAATGAGATGTGTAGTGCGTGAGCAGGGACCTTAGCAAATCCTTGAGAAAAGTGTTCAGTGTGCTAAGCCATATCAAAGCATATCAAAAGCCCTGACGTGTAGATGGTGAGCCGGGGAAAATTGTGAAGGAAAGATCACAATTTTCAGCTGTCGAAGGAGGATATTTCGAAGATTGTAAGCCGTAGAGGAAAATCGTCTGATAATAAATGAAAGTTTATAAAATTATCTAAAACTTTTAACTTATAGATTTTTCCGAATTTGTAACCCTTTTCAAACTTCATGCTCGAAAACTTTATATTTTGAGAAAAAAAAAAACCGTTATCTCTCATATTTTTCATCAAACATTCCTCCATATCGTCTATGCTATATATCATCAAAATAAATTCATTTAAACATTGTAGAAACTTATATTATCTAATAGAATACATGTACAATATGTCAATTAATCTCCAATCAGTCTACAACACACTTATTTTGAACATTTTTGTAAAATGTTGTGCAAAATGTTAAGAAGCAGAAAAAGTTGTTTTTATTATAGTCTTGACACACAACTTTTGTTTGTTTATTTAATAATATGCGTTGCCACACTTTAAATCCAAATATAAAATAAAGTAGAAATAAATTATTTTACTTGAAAAATTTAATATTATATTTTATAGATAAAAGAAAGTTTCATGATAATTTTATTCTATTTTGTTAAATTAAATTCATACAATTATAAACCAAATTGTTATCACTGTTCTCAATAATTTCCTAATTATTGAGATAATCTTAATTATCTCTCTCAAACTTCATAAAGATTTACACAGGGGAAAGTATTGCAGTTGATCGTAATCTCGACCCAATCATCTCCCTGCACAATCGTTGACCTTGAAACAGTAATGCCTTTCAAAGTACTGAACCTAGGACCCGTCATGGTTGCTGTGGTACAAGATTCTTTTTATTTTTCATTTTCCACTATATAAACATGGTGTGAATGTGCTCTCAGAACTCTATTATAAATGTCCTTTATTGAGACAGATTGTAATAGTTATCAATAAACAAATAATCAAGTACTATATAAACAGTTAGCACATACAAACGGTCCCCTTAGATAACAATATTTGGCATTGATTGCAGTGTGAAGGAGACCCTACAGCCTGCTGCGGTTATCCACTCAACAAATGTAAGACGTTCGGGAGCTGCTCGGCTTGCGTGAGTGACCTGCTGCCGCTCAACGTGTTCTTCCTTCCAGGCTGCCTCTTCGAGACTACAGTGGGCAACGTGATCTCCGCTCTGGCCCCTCAATCCAGTGGGTAGCCCGCCAGTCAAAATAATGGAGAGCAAACACATGTATATCAAAACATAAACAATTTTATCCGACTGTTATGTAATGGCTACCTATTTAAATTTTAAATATGAATGAAATAAATATAATTATTCATGAATTTGTTAATTCAATTTTTAAATATTTTTATGATTCGTTCCCATGTGACTTAGCAAACTGATATTTCCAAACCTGTAGATTAAATTCACAGAGTTTACGTTAGTTCATAACATTTAATTCATTTGTATGTAAAATCTTTGATATGCATAGATTAAGTATGTTATCATCGTATATGACTTTGAAAGAACATATCGTTTAAAAAAGTATATAAAAATTGTCTTAATTAACTCAAACATGTTATTTAAGCTAAAATTATAACTTTTTTATTAATTCTTAAGAAAATTCTGAAACCAATTTTTACCTTTGTACTGGAAATGTGTGGTCCACTGTACAGACCCATTTTTTAAAAACAAATTATTTATTTATAAATGTTTAGGGCTCTTCAATCACTTGGGTCATTTTCGCCTTATATTACAATTGGATCAACTACATTGGCATAAATAACAAAACTACAGTTAACAAATACAATTTAAAGTTTAGAAAGTTAAAAATAGTTACAGTTGAATATGATAGTACAATTGAATTAAAGTTATAAAAATTCAAAGTTAAAGATTAAAAGGAGATAAGTTAACAAAGATAATAAAAACAAATGTTACCATTTAAGAACAAAAGCTAAAATTACGTTTTTAGAAAATAGAAATTAATATTAATAGAAGAGAAGTTAAAGGGTACAGTTCAAATATTAAAAAGTAAAAGAAGAAAAGTTGACAAAACTTTTAAATTAAAAATTAAGATTAAAAGAAGATAAGTTAACAGGTTTATTTACAATTTGAGGAGGAACCTACAAACATAAAAAACATAACAGATATATTTACAATTACAAGATTTTATTAAATTTTTACATGTGATTACAATTTTGTGAAATATTTTGATTTTCTTAAGGATCAATATTAAGTCCTTTGTAGCATTAAAATGAAATGAAATAAAAATATATTTTATTATTCTGGGACTGCTGTTCCTTTAGAACAAATTAAAATTACAGAAAACGTGTATGTGCATTCATAAATAAATTAAATATGTACAATAATAGTTATTTAAAGTAAAGATACAGAAGAGAGACAAATTCGGTTCCTTCTGGAGTGATCCTTCAAGGCTATTTCTGAAAAGATGTTGATCTTGATTGGAATGCATAACATTATTTTAAGATATGGTTCACTGTGAGAGGTACCACGCAAAAAATACATTGAGTAGAAGCATCATTCCTCATTAAATACTCGTGGGTAATCCTAGTATGTCCTATCCTTAGCCGGCTCAGTACCACTTCTTCTCTTCTGGTCAGCACGATATCTGGAATAACTCTCCGGACGTATGGCTCCACAACGCTTAGCTTATTGTCTCTTGTGGCAGACCAGGTTCTTTGCCAAGCAAACCGTGATTTTTGTTTATTAAAGAGACAAACTATTAATACAAACTATTAAACAAATTATTACACCTGCCTAAATCTTCGTGATTAGTTTCGTCTTATCATAACACATAACTATTATATTTCCGGAAATTCTCGTAATTGGAGAGTTATCTGTATGGAGATTGGCAAATTCTGTCTGGTTAATTAGGTACTAAAATATTTGACAATTAAGCGTGACTTCCACCATCAACATGCAAAATCACGAGGTTGTACCGGCTAAACCGTACAATATTTTTTTTTCTTTAATTTTTTTATCAAATTATCATAAGATTCAGGTGGAAATGAAACAAGTTTGAGTTTTAGTACCTTATTAAATTGATTAATTTAATGAGAAAACATCCTATTTCTGAATTTTTTTTTTTTTTTTAATTTGTTGATTTAGCCTCTACCCCTAGGGGTCATTGGCTTAATGTTTCCATTTTATATTCGTTGATAAAAGTGAATATTCTTTAAATATTTGAACAGTTTTTCTATTTCATGCTCTCCATCTTACAGAATTTCTTTCATTTCCGTTCCCAATATTAAATATAAAATATGAAATATGAAAATATTTGTATATAAAAAAAAAATGTAGGTTACGTTAAGATCACAAAGTTTTAGGTGGATTTTAATAATTTGATAATAAAGGATATGTACCACTGATTAGTGCTGAACTGCAAAATTTTTATCAAACGCATTCAGTCCAAAGTCGTTCGAACATTAGAAACAAATAAAACTCTGTATTACAACCTTAATAGCTCATCTGGCCTTATCCCTTAAAAATCTCCAAATTTCTCCAGAATCTTACATATCATACAAATCCTCTTGAAAATTCTATATTCTAAAGCTCCACCCACCCCTACGATACTCCCCGAAAGGTTGAAGCGTTAGTGGTGGACCTTTTGTAAATATACAAATGTTGGAGTTCCGTCAATGTCCAGATTTTCCACTCATGCAATGTACGCCTGTGGTTATAGTGCCTCGTATCAGCCTCCATTGGTCATTAATGAAGAATAAGCGCTTGTATTTCCTTGAGTTATTCTTTTCCTTCCCGGCAGTAAAAGTTTGGATCGGAGTTCTCCTGTATTAATTTTTTTAAATATTGTATATAAGTGTACCGTTATTTAAAAAAAAAATTAACACCTGTCAGAAGTACTGACAATTAGATCTGCTTTCAGTAAAATACTAATAGTGGCTTGATCGTTGTGAGGAAAAGGAGTGCCCAGCGCCATCGCTTCTTGACTTGCTGTATATTTTTAGTTGAGGAAATCCCTCATCCAGGTTCTTTTGAGCCTCCAAAGGGCATGTTAATCGTGGCCATGTATTGCATCAGTTTGTTAGTACGTCTACGTGTTTAGATTTTTATGTAAAGTAATGTTGGGACGTACCATGGAGCCTTAGTTATAGTCCTAAAAGTTTTTGACTGAAAGGTTTGTAGTTTTCGTATGTGACTCGTTTTGGCTGTTCCGTATATTTCAGAAGCGTAGGTCCATATGTGCTTTAGTATTAAGTGTTCAATTTCTGTTTTAATTTGAATTTTATTTTCGGCCATAAGTTCAGGCCCTCATCAGGGCTGCTGTACAAGAAGTAAAGTCAGACAGCAAAAAAAATATAATATTAAAAGCAATACAATTAATAAATTTTAGATTCTTTAAAATGAAGTTTAATTAACTAGTAATTCATGGATTTATACTTCATAGTGATAAAAATAGTTTAACCACACACCTCAACCTTTTTTAATAGCGAATTATAAAATTTTGAAGAAAATATTTGAGTGCGAGAAAATCCTTTTATAAATCTTGATATAGTAAAAATATTAATTTTCTGAAAACTCACCTTCCCATATTTTTAGTTTTAGTATTTTTGAGTAAATAATTACAATTATTTAATTCGAGAAGATTCAAGGTTTAATTTGTACGTATGTGTGTTTACACATAACAATAATTATGATAAATAAATAAAACATCAAAATAATGACTTACATACTTTAAGCCAAATATGGGACAAAACGTTTTTATAGATATTGTAGATAAGTTTAATTCTGAAACCTATATATCAGAATATTATATATTAATCTGGAAGAGGAAGAAGTATTACAAGCAGAATCGGTATTCCATTTAACATTTATTCTAAAACTAGGTGATTTTTGAAATCCCTTCCGTTACCAGGAAAACCGCTTTGATGTATTATTCCCTAAGGAGCTGATAAAGACAAAGCAATATTTTGTAGGTTTCGAAATGTGAAAGTTGTCTCACAAACGCTGAGTACAACTTGAATAGAACATTTCTAACGCTTAAAGGTTTTGAAAATGTTCAAACAACTTCATTTCTTCATTCTCTTGTTTCCTGCGATAGCGTCTTTACCAATCAACTGTACATTATTTGGATCTCCTGTAAGTATGATGTGTTATGTAGTCCAATCCTTCATTTTAGTTACCTGATTATTCTGTAATGAGTATGGAATATTAATTAATCATCATTTTTATCACGAGTTACAGTGTAAAGTATAGAATCCGATCTAATGGATTCGTTTTTCATAGATCAAATGATGACGTATTTGTACATATGATGATGTATTGGTTTATTATTTTTAATAATGAACCATCGTAATTGAAGAAAAAATTAAAAAATTTAACTCCCTCTTAAAATTTGAGGTTTTACGTTTCAGGAAACGTAGATTTCGAAAAACAAATAAACATTTTTTTGTCCGTCCACCGTCCGCCGTCAGCCGTCCGCACGTTTTCTCCAAAACGATTGACCATTTTTTTTTTTCAAATTTAGATTTAAAACAGAAGTCACCCGAGGATGATCCTCCTTCATCGACATTATTATCCGCCTTTTACTTTCAAAATGGCGGATAGTACTAGCCTTTAGAAAAAACTGCGTTGTAATAGACTGTAGCGCCTGAACGAATGTACCGGTTTCAATGAAACTTGGCTAAAGTATTCTTCTTGATGCCCTTTAAATTTATTTATGTAACATACTTCAACGAAAAGAAGCTGGAAAAAAGTTATGAGGGATGTTAAAACTAGATTCCAAATTACTCAAAAACTTTTTATAATACTCTTTTTATTGATATTGTGATAAAAAATGTTTCAAAGGCATTTAAATTTCCTAAAAAATAAAATAAAAATCGTTCAAATTGGACAATCAGGAGCAATAAAATGTTCTCTAGATGTTTTTTTTTTTTTTTTTATGTTCTACTGCAAATCCTTTGTTTTAAATTTTGATTTTGAATGTGTTACTAAAGTAAATCAATTTTTATTTTTTTTAGAAAATTACTATTGACGAAAAAAAAGTGTTGAGGAAAATAATTGCAATTAACTTTTTCTTTCTTTTAATTTGTCTCTAGAAAGGTAATGCTACTTTAGATATATGATTGTTGGAAAATAATAAACCATTGTGAAATAATTTGCAGCGTTTTTATTTTTTTTTTATTGTTTTCATTTCATTTGATTTTGTATGACGTATAGAGTGGTGTACGGTGGCAAGTTTTGAAAAAAAGGTATTTAAAATTAAGCTGATGACATTGCTTAAAACACTATTGCATTTCACTTGTGGTAAGGA